GACGTTTCGGGCCTAGACCCTTTCTGATGAAGGGTCTAGGCCCGAAACGTCAGCCTTTCCGCTCCTATGATGCTGCTTGGCCTGCTGTGTTCATCCAGCTCTGCACCATAGTATATCAACAGGTTCCCTTTTATCCATAGGACATGTTATGGTTTCAAAGAACTCCAAAATTTGGTTAAACATGATCTTCAATAAAGCTGTGCTGATTCTATCCAATTACATGGAGTTTTTTTCCCATGTACCCAGCTATAATTCCTTAATGATAGATTTCAACAACTTCCCCACAATACACGTCAAGATAACTGGTCCTCCCTTTTGAGGAGTTACACTTGCTACGTTCCAGACTGATCCAGCCTTTCCAGAAACAAGTGAATCTTGAAAAATTATAGCCATCATCAGATGGAGTTTATCAGGACCTGTCAACTTATTAGCCCACAACACCATTAGTTTGTTCAGTACTGCTTCAGTAGTTATTGTAATTTGATCAAATCTCCCTACCACCTCTTGATTTATAGCTGATTCTGGAAATATTTTTGCATTCTTAATAGTGAAGGAAGCAGCAAAACCCTCTCATTTTATTCAATTTCCTAACCAATTACCATTAATTCCACATTCTCACTCTCTAGAGGACAACACTTTACTTATTCTTTTTTAAATACATATAGAAACTGTTGCAATCTGTGCGTACAGTTTCAGCTAGCTTCCTCTCATTCTCATTTCTCTGTCCGATGAACCTTTAATCACTCTTCCCATTCTTTACCATCTGGCTCGACAGCCATTTTTGCACAATTATATGCTTTATCCGCCAAGTTTGCATATGTTTTTCACTTGTTTAACACTTCCACCTCATGTTGTCTATTAGTGGGATTTCAGCTGAAAATAGAGACATGGCATGTATGAAGAATGAACACAAAGTAGACACAAACTGCTGGACAGAAATGGGAAAACAGAAAAAGGAGAAGCAAAGTAAATCAGAAAGACAGGCAAATGCATGCATGTCCAACTTACAGAAAGACAAGGGCAAAGGGACAGGAGCAGGCAAGTGATAGGTAAAAGGACAATGCAAGAGAGCAAAAAAAAAAAAGAATGAGGGGCAAGCATGGACTGAAGAGACGTGTCGGGCATTTTCTGCATTACATGAATTATTTAGCCATGTGCTAAGCTGTCCAATGTAACCAATCTTCAGAAATTTGATACCAATTCTACAACAGACAAATCTGTAGTGGTAATAGGATCACATTCAGCCTGTTCACGTTTCATAGACACTCAACTTCCAACTGCATCATTGATGGCTCAAGTTTGTGCTTCCATTCTCTACGTATTGATCACACATTACTTTTTTTTTAAAAACATCAGATCCGAGTTTGTGGACACTATCACATCTGAGAGAAAAAAGTGTTGAGGATGGGCCTGTACCACAAAGGCATCTAGCTTGTACACAAGTCAGGTCATAAGACCTGTACAATTGAGAAGGTGGTGGTGGTGTAGTGGTAATGTCACTGGACGAATCCAGGGGCCCAGGGCAATGCTGTGGGGCACTGGTTACACATCAGCTCATGGAACCAAAATTCAATTAATTCAATCTGGAATCAAATGCTTGCCTCACTCTTGGTGGCCATAAAACTATCAGCAATTGTTGTAAAAACCCACCTCGTTCACTAATGACAGTCAGCAAGGTAATTCTGCGATCCTTACTTGATCTGGCTCATATGAGCCTCCCACAGAAATGTGGTTCATTCTTAACTGCCCTCTGAAATGGCCAAGTGAGCCAGTCATTTATTAAAAGGCAATTAGGGATGGGCAACAAATGGCCAGCTTAGCCAGTTGCACCCATGTACCATGAAACAAAAACATTTTAAAGAAATTACGTACCTGGCAATAACCAATTATTTTATTGTGGTTTCCATATGCCACTAAAATGTTGAAGAGTGCATCTTGTAAGGAGGGGTTTGCAGTCTTGCGAAACTGTACATTGTCAGGAAATGTTCTGTTAATGTCTGGAAATTAAAGCAAACAAATTTCACTTTTAAATCTCAACATGAAATGGTGCAAATGCCCTGTCACATCATTGAATGCTGTAGTCTTAACAATTCCAGTTTAAAATCACCTTTCTCTAACATGAATCTTTCATGGTTACATCAAGACTTGGAATATTCAGATGCAAGTATTTGGATTACACAGTTCAGTCTCTGCAATACTTGTTCACAAATTCTCCACCCTAGTTTATGACAAACATTTTTTAATAGCCAAGTTTACATCTCAATCAAAAGACTGTGGCTTCAGGACAAACATGTCCTGGACATCATTTAGCTTTGTCAGAATTTATATCAAGTGAATCACTCATGACATACACAATCATTACACTTCATGCAAAACAAGATCAAACTACAGACAACAACGAAGAGAAACATGTGGGAATTAATGGCTGGGATTTTTTTAACTATGTCAGTCAACTAACTGTGCTGACTTCATGCATATATGGGGAAATTAGATAAGCGCATGAGGGAAAAACAAACAACAGAAGGATGTGCTGATAGGGAGAAATTAAATAGGCTGGGAGGACGCTTGTGTAGAACTAAACTCACTGAACTGAATGATATGACTATAATTTATATGACACAGTGAGAATAGAGAGAAAGAATGAAATAAATGAAGGAAGAAAACTTCCATTTAGATGACCATTGGATGTCTCAATGTGTTTTAGTCAAGTAAGAACTTTTTCAAAAAAAAGTGTGTTCAGTCCTAATGTAGGGAGAATCTATCTTTATCAAACTATTTCCACCCGCCTCTCCCAATGTACCTTGGAAAGCAAACAAATACTATAGGATGGGCACAGAAAACTATTTCAAACACTGCACTTGGGAAGAGGTGGTTATGGCTTTGCATAAGTGCTGTCAGAGGACTAGAGCTCATGAGGAACACTGCCACAGACTTTGGAATCATCGCTGCAACACAGTTTCACTGCTTGTTCCAACAAGATGGTCAGCTCCTCTACCAGTAAACAATAGCTAGCTGCTGCTATTGTAATATACAAAACCAACCCTCCATAAACAAAAACAGGAGCCCATCTGGGAGGACATCTTATGAAAGAAAGAACAAACCAATTTCACCTGAAGATGCAGCAAATCCATCATTTCTAGAGATCCACCTTAAGATTCTAGATCATCCAAACACATATGGGATCTATAAAGGTTAATCAATCAATCTTAAAGATTTCCTTCATTTTGGAAGGAACAATCCCAGCTGAGGCCCATCCTGACATGGGTTTAGAGAATAGGACACACATCATAATGATCATCATAACAATCAAGGTTTTGAAGAGTCTTCTTAGACTCCAAACATGAATTCGGTTTCTCTCCCCATAGATGCTCCCAGACTTGCTACGTTTCTCCAGAATTTTGTGTTGGTTTCTATATGTCCATTGTGACTTCACTATATTGAAAGAAAACACTAATTCAGAAAATGAAAATTACACACACTTCAACTAGGTAAAATCTCTTAACAACAAAATATTTCATTCGTACATCTAGAGCAATTCATTGGAGTTAATTTATAGTCACACGTCAAACAGTCCATAAGCACTTAGAACTGTAAAACAAGTGTGAAATGGCATACACCCCATTGTAAATTATCATTGGTTCTGCATCTATTCATGCAGCAGTAATTCAGACTTATGTCAATAATCAGGGCAAAATAGCAAGAAACGATTTAAAAAATACTCCAGGCATTTCTGTATCCAAGAGTTAAGGGCATAACTTTTAAATGCCTTCACTGGTCCATTTTCCCAGTTAATTTTGTCACTGTCAATGAGTTTGATCGTTAATGGAATTCTGCATTTTTTACGCACATCATCGTCGACTGTTAACCATTCTTATTGGCATCTTGCCTCCCACAAAGGTAATGAAGGACCATATCAAAAAGGGGATTTCCATCTCCAAAAGGGGTGGCCTAGATATCCAGAGAAATGCACAAAGTCAGACTGGCTGTTACCATGTCTGCTCTGCTCCATGATGATTTTAGGTTGGAACATGATTTCAGACTTGGAATAATACAAGATAAACTTAACCAATAACACGACACCTAGTGAGTAATCAACAGTCACCTTTGATCAACTTGCAAAGAATTTGTTGTTGGTCTCACTCTCTTACAGCTAATTTCACCATCCACGTGTTCAACCTAGTGGATTAGCACTATCCTTCTTTGTTGGTTGGACTGAAATTTATTGAAATAAGAAAACCCCGACACTTGCAAAACCACTTCACAAGCCAGCTCTGCAGTATTTCTCAATTAATCTGCTTCGCTTCTACCATTGTGTCTCGCAGAATTTGATACAGACAATGGCATGGCCAGAATTTAAATCAAAGTGTAATCATTGCTCTGCATGTTTTCATTCATTCCCCTGACGTGGGAATTTATGGGAAGGTCAGCACTTGTTGCACAGCAGCCAATTCTACTTGTCTTCAGAAAGATGTGCCTTTCACTTGAACTGTTGTAGACTATGTAAGGAAAGGTACCTCATGCTGTAGATCCAACCTGGCTGCTTTCACACAAGAATCAAACTTCAAAATCTTATCCCCCCAGTTTTATTCTAAATTAAGCCTTAAACTCCCCATTCCTATCCATTATATAGCTTGTGCGCCTTATAGATGCCCTGATTACCCCAGACTCAATTGATTGGCAGTTTCCTTGCAGGCCTCCCACGCTCAACCATAAATTCCAATGTCTTACACTTTCTGGCACATATCCTGGGCTATACTTAGTCCTACACATTTAGCACCCAATCTCAATTGAGTTAAAGACTGCTCATTAACACTACATTTAAAATCCTTGTGTCTGTCTACAAATCCACATGCCTTGGCCTAGCCTGGTCGCACCAGATCTCCAACCTCATAAGCCTGATATACCTTCCTAAATAAGCACATTTTACCCTCTGGTTGTGCTGCAGACCAGTCAGTTTGGCTGGCTGCTTCCAGGGGCATGATCCCTTTCCCTGTAAAAGGGCAGAAGTCTCATTCTGTCCTTGGTAACATCACTTACAGTGTCTTATTAGAACATAGAACATTACAGCGCAGTACAGGCCCTTCGGCCCTCGATGTTGCGCCGACCTGTGAAACCAATCTGAAGCCCATCTAACCTAAACTATTCCATTATCATCCATATGTTTATCCAATGACCATTTAAATGCCCTTAAAGTGGGCGAGTCTACTATTTTTGCAGGCAGGGCATTCCACGCCCTTACTACTCTGAGTAAAGAACCTACCTCTGACATCTGTCCTATATCTATCACCCCTCAATTTAAAGCTATGTCCCCTCGGGCTAGCCATCACCATCCGAGGAAAAAGGCTCCCACTGTCCACCCTATCTAATCCTCTGATCATCTTGTATGTCTCTATCAAGTCACCTCTTAACCTTCTTCTCTCTAACGAAAACAGCCTCAAAACCCTCAGCCTTTCCTCATAAGACCTTCCCTCCATACCAGGCAATATCCTGGTAAATCTCCTCTACACCCTTTCCAATGCTTCCACATCCTTCCTATGATGCGGTGACCAGAACTGTACGCAATACTCCAAGTGCGGCCGCACCAGAGTTTTGTACAGCTGCAACATGACCTCATGGTTCCGAAACTCAATCCCTCTACCAATAAAACCTAACATACTGTACGCCTTCTTAACAACGCTATCAACCTGGGTGGCAACTTTCAGTGATCTATGCACATGGACACCGAGATCTTTCTGCTCATCCACACTACCACGAATCTTACCATTAGCCCAGTACTCTGTATTCCTGTTACTCCTTCCAAAGTGAATCACCTCACACTTTTCCGCATTAAACTCCATTTGCCGCCTCTCAGCCCAGCTCTGCAGCTTATCTATGTCCCTCTGTAACCTACAACATCCTTCTGCACTATTTACAACTCCACCGACTTTGGTGTCATCCGCAAATTTACTAACCCATCCTTCTACGCCCTCATCCAGGTCATTTATAAAAATGACAAACAGCAGTGGCCCCAAAACAGATCCTTGAGGTACACCACTAGTAACTGAACTCCAGGATGAACATTTCCCATCAACCACCACCCTCTGTCTTCTTACAGCTAGCCAATTTCTGATCCAAACCGCTAAATCACCCTCAATCCCATGCCTCCGTATTTTCTGCAATAGTCTACTATGGGGAACCTTATCAAACACTTTACTGAAATTCAAATACACCACATCAACCGCTTTACCCTCATCCACCTGTTTGGTCACCTTCTCGAAGAACTCAATAAGGTTTGTGAGGCACGACCTACCCTTCACAAAACCGTGTTGACTATCCCTAATCAAATTATTCCTTTCTAGAGGATTATAAATCCTATCTCTTATAATCCTTTCCAACACTTCACCCACAACCAAAGTAAGGCTCACTGGTCTATAATTACCAGGGTTGTCTCTACTCCCCTTCTTGAACAAGGGGACAACATTTGCTAGTCTCCAGTCTTCTGGCACTATTCCTGAAGACAATGACGACAAAGATCAAAGCCAAAGGCTCTGCAATCTCCTCTCTAGCTTCCCAGAGAATCCTAGGATAAATCCCATCCAGCCCAGGGGACTTATCTATTTTCACACCTTCCAGGATTGCTAACACCTCCTCCTTATGAACCTCAATCCAGTCTAGTCTAATAGTCTGTATCTCAGTATTCTCCTTGACTACATTGTCTTTTGCCTGCGTGAATACTGATGAAAAATATTCATTTAGCACCTCTCCTATCTCTTCGGACTCCACGCACAACTTCCCACTACTGTCTTTGACCGGCCCCAATCTTACTCTAGTCATTCTTTTATTCCTGACATACCTATAGAAAGCTTTAGCAGGTAGGATCAAGGAAAACCCTAAAGACTTCTCATGTCCCCTCCTGGCTCTTCTTAGCTCTCTCTTTAGGTCCTTCCTGGCTAACTTGTAACTCTCAAGCGCCCTCACTGAGCCTTCACACCTCATCTCTACATAAGCCTCCTTCTTC